AAACATAGTTTATTTCATTTTTATTTTTTTAACAGACATGATAGCTCAACATGTCTTCAATCCCCCACTGTAAATAGCATCTACAATACCATCATGACAGATATATAATATGGAATTTTGCATTGAGGACACCACCAAATACATAGGAGGAGATTTTCAGCTGTTCTGTTTTAAATTTTAGCCTGTGCTGTTGTGATTTCATTAAGTGTAAATACCATTACCTAACTTCTAAATGCAAATCGAAAAGTTTGAGGAATAACTTTTCCATTTTGCTCCATTTTTCCATTATTGCTTATCAAACCAATACCTTGCCTATTGTGGTTCTTCTGTTCTCATTTGATTACACCTTAATCAGGTGACTCATTTGCTCACGATTAACTCATATTTAAGAACTTGGAAAGAAAAATTAAAACACCAAAATGTCAGTTGTATTATCTAAGACTATTGAACAGCCACGTCATCAATATTTAGCTATTGAACAGTTAAGTGTCAAGGCTGAGAAAACAGTTTATGTTTTGATKAACCAGTAAAGAGAAGCTCTGGAGTATAATTCACTGCAAATAATGAACCATTATAGATAATGAATCATCATTATACATGGCACTATTTTAGATATTAGAAGCKCTCTCACATGCTGTGATTTAAAGTATGAAGAAAATGTTGTGGAGCTGCACATGCAGCCAAGCAGGCACTGTCCTTGTTCTGTGCCATAAAGAAAAAGCCAGAAGTGGTGGGAAAGCACATCYACATTAATACATGACACTCACATATGCAACAGACTTTTTTACCMCAGTCATAGATGTCTGTTGAAGTGACTTACACTGGACTGGTTCCTGCACACTGGCTTCAAACTCATCATCATTTGCTTCTATTCCCTTTTAATCTTAAAATCACCCTACTGCTATATTTCATGAATCATGCTGCTAGTACCTTTCATGAGTTCTAACTATACTTTAATAACCAATAAAAGGAAAAGTGGTTATGGCCTCTCCTCAGACTCTGAACAGATTTTTATGGKACATTCAAAAGGTAGATGTGAATGGTTCATGGGCATTCCTGGAAAGCATCTGAGGGAGAGAATTTCATTACAGTCCTCAACATTTTAATCCTCATAATTATCCTGTAATAATTAGAAGATAGTTAACACAGTGTTTCCTCCTGACAGGAGGGCATAGGAAAATAAAGTGTTTTTCCTAGTCTCCATAGGCATGCAGAGGTTTTGAAGATAYATTATGATGTGAACCTGTGGGTTTGAAGACACTGCTGAGAACAGTGATGCATGGTAAAGAGAAACCATGTGGAGAGGAATTGAAATTACAGTTGAAGATAAAATATTTCAAAATAYCCCATCAATCTTCAGCAACCAAATATAGAAAAAAACTAATCTATGCATTCCTATTTCAAATATTCTTGAAATACTAGGAGCTTAGATCCACAGAAAAGGTATTTTAAAATTCAGACATTATTCTTACTTCCACCTCACCCCTTTCCCAAAATAAACTCGTGCTTTAGGGATGTATTGAAATTCTTTCACATATGAAATTGACAGGAAGAAGAATTGCTTCCAATAAGTTTTAAAAACATCTTTATTTCCATATTTCATTGAACCTTGTGAATAAGTTCCAACTAATTGAATAGCACTAATGTCAAATAATATACTGCCAAGAACCTACTCTTAGAATCTCTTTAGCAAAGGTGAAATTATAACTCATGGGGTTTTTTTCAAATTCACAGTGTTCAAGCTTTCAGTAATGTCTGTCCTAGGCACCAGGGACCATTTAGACTATTTAGTTTAGATTAATGACAAATATAATGGTATTTCTAAAATCATGTAGCATTTTTCTTGGTGGTACTAAGATTTACCAGTTGTATTCAGAAGATTTTTTTTTTCAAAAGTGAGGAGAAATTTTGCTTTGAACTCAAYTGAAGCTCAAATCAATTTAGTCACAGGAGCTGAATGTGAATAGTGTTACAGTAAACAAGGAAACTGTGTTCTCACAGGTGTCTGCTGAGACCAAAATAGAAATGGATTATAATGGTTATAAGATTCAATAATTATGTGTATTGCACTAAACTCATATTAATGCTAGAAATACTTCTGCGGTTGCTCTATTTTTAAAAAAGCTGTATATGATTTGAAAAAGTGAAAAATGTGCATATGTTATYTTTTATGGTAGACTTAATGAGTTTTCTAGAACAGTCACRCAATTTTATCCTTTCACATCCTCASTCATATATTTCATTTCATTCTCACAGAAGTTACAGAGGAGAAATAGGTACAGATATATTTTCATTTGATATGTAAAATTCATGTGTCACTTGTAAGTTATGCAGGGAAAATAAGCTTAATTAAACAGAACTACAAGTTGTCTGCAAATACTGATTTGTAATACAGGAGTACTTTCCTTTGGAATCATTAAATCTGCMCAGCTAAAGTAACTTTATCTCCTTGAAAAATTCCACTTACTACCTCATACTGATAGAGAAATAAGTGAGTTGTTTTAAAATATGTTTCCTAATGACCCAGATAACCAGTTTTCTCTGTGTTTACCATGTTATACACATTTATTTACTTGCTGCATGAAACATAAAAGCAAATTTTAAAAAATTATTTAAATGCAACTTAAAGGAAATTTTCCAAATACATGAATTTCAAAATAGTCTCATAGCAGCTAAATGAGACTAATGGTTTATAAACTCTTCACTCTTTCTCAGAAATATACACTACCAAAAAATTCCTTTTGCCAGTTCTATTCAGCAAAACCTGTTTTCCTCCATGACAAAAGAGACAACACATTTTTGTCACCAATTGCAGTGGAAGCAGGACTGAAGCCAAATAACTACCAATGGGCAGCAAACATGACACCCTTACCGGGCCAAAAAAGTGGATATCTGCTCACCTCTTTCAGTCATTCCTGCATCAGAAACAAATATCCTATTTATCCTTCATATTAAAATTYAACATGTTGWAGTAYTCAAATCAGATAGGAAAGGGAGYGTCTTTTATTCTTCTGACTGTGAAGTATGTAAAATAACTTCAAATAGGAAACAAATTTTGTCAATTAGAACCATACAAGCTGCAGAAGAATCCTCAAATCAAACCTACAGGACACCAAAATTTGAAATCAGTCATCAAGACAGTAATTTAAGGTTAAAAAGGAGAAAGCTACCAAGTCTCTATGGTGATAGGGTACAGCAAAAGAAAAAAAACCAAAAAAAACCAAGAAGAGGTCTTATGATTCACACCCATCACATGATCCACAAATGTCTATGAAAAGAAAAATATTTACATAATTGGAGAACTGGAAAGAAAAGAGATCAGCCTGTTTTGTTTAGCAAGAAGAAACAAAAAAAAAGTTCCATCCATGTATTTCTTCTGTGGGGGACAGCGATAAAAGATCATTTTACAAGAATAGTGAAATACTGTCGGGACCCTGTCTCAGAGATGAATACACACATTCATAGCAAAGTTCATTTTGTCAAGTTAATTAATCACTGCAGCAAATTGATAAGGGAAATAATGAGTGTTTCTTTCAGGTACATTAAAATAAATTCCATATGGGACTACATGTTGCTTGTGTCAGGTACTGATCTTAGCAGACTCAATGAAATTCAGTGATATGTGACACTCAGGAGTTAAAATTAAAGAAATTTTCTGATATCCAACTACAAGTTTGGGAATTTTSTTACTATTTGTAACAAACTAGAATCTGGACCATCTTGTCTGCAATTTTGAGTACAAAAGCAGTAACACACGGCTAATTTTAAATTGCTGATTAATAACCAGAACTTAGTTGCCATATATTTATTTTTTGTCTCACACTGGATATCCTGAAATAGTGAGGGAAAGGTGATATTCCTAATGCAACTTCATATAGTTACGAGTGGAAGTCAGAAAATCATGACAGCAATTCATAACAGTTTTGAATTTAAAGTAAATTAATTTGAAGTTGAATTTTAACCATTATTAAGTACTTTTCCTCATCTAAACTGCACAAAAGCCTGTATTTATAGCTAAGCTTAGATCTGAAAAATGTTCAAATAAATACAAAATGTGTTTTCAAAAAGTTCCATTTTCTTTCATGCTGTTCTCCAAGCTTTTCGTGGARTAACTGAAGGAGTCTAGTTTTTAGCTCACAATCAAATATTTTTTTAACAACAATTATCTTTATTTTTTTCCTGCTTCAATAGCTGCCATATTTAGACAAATGTATGTCTGCACCATAAAGCCCATTGGGTGCACAATGGCTGATGAGTGTTTGAGCTAAAAAGAAAATATGAGTGCAAACACTATCTAATCAATTTCTTCCCGGAGTATGAATGTAAATGTCCCAGGGTCCTCACAGACCTCTGTGGAAGAGCAAACTACAGTGAAAACAACTTTCTGCTGCCACAAGCCAGAGTGTAAATGCTATGAGACAGAAGCACTGATGCCATTAATAAACAGTACATGCATTAACTGTGTYCTCTTACACAACCAGTTTTGCAACTTAAAAGAATATTGAAAGGRAAAAAAAAGCCACCAAAACTTTGGTCTTTTTAACTTATCCAAGAAAGAGTGGCATTGAAATCTCCCACCTAGATTTATGTTTTCATTGACTGATCTTCTGAACTGCAGTTTAATTGCTGGAAAAATTGGATATGCTGGAATTTGCTAAATTCTTACAAGTTTTGAACTTGTTTTCTTTGATCTATCAAATGGAAGCATTCAGGAGTAAAGCATAGAGTGCTAGAGAAACTCTAGAGAGAGTGATTTCAAGTGATTTACTTGATATCAGTGAAAACAGCCTCCCTTGYGGATAAAAGAGACACATTCCATGTAGCAATCCATGTATTAAAGATTCCCTATAGAAAATGAGATATATCAACCATTATATGAACCTTAATTGTGAGTATATTTTATTGCTACTTAGATTATTAAGTGTTTAAGCTACCAGATAACAGAATCTMTATTCTCAATAGTGGAAGAGTGTTAACATTAATTTTACTAAATATTTCAGCCCTGTTCCAACAATCTCTTGGAGGAAAGTTAATGGTCATAATCCAAGTAAAGCTCGCCTGAGAAAATCCCAAGCTGTGCTTGAAATACCTAATGTGCAGCTAGAGGACTCAGGAATGTATGAATGTAAGGCTGAAAAYTCTCGTGGAAGAAATGTCTTCAGAGGACAGCTACAAGTATACAGTAAGTGTGACTGCACAAAATATTATCCTGCAATGCTTTGTCCAAGCTTACGGCTTTGACCATATGTGAAGCATTCCAAGGTTCAGTAGATACAAGATACTTTGATATATTAATATACGCAATATACCAACAACAGTATTGAATATTGCATTGAAATCTGAAATAAAAATAGTATTGACTCCTTCAAAGAACTGCCTTAAATACAATTTTTTAATGGGATTTGTTTGTTGTTTTGTTTGTGGGTTTGTTTTTTTTTTTAATTAAACAGTACAGCTGTAATTTTAATAATCTATGTGTTTTACTCCTGATATAACAATGACATGTAACCTAAACATGAAATATCTGTCAGAAAACAACATTGGAGATGTTTTAGGATTATAGTCACACTTTTATTAACATTTTACCTGTGCCATGTTTGGGTACTGAGCTTGGTCTTGTTCATTGCACTGGAATCAGAGCTGAAGAAGGGTTTGTTTTTTTGCAGAAAATTGTCAATCTAGGCATGCACAATTTCCAAAGGTTCTGATTTTCATGTGTCCAATATTTTCTATCTAAGACTGGTAATCCCAAAAATTTTTCAGTGACCATAAAAATAAAATTGAGTCATGCATCAGTTTGAAAAGAAAAAAGGAACCATGAAATAKTTTATAAACCCCATTAATTCTGTAYAATATTCATGTTGTATCCTAGAGTCTAGAAACAAAAGCTTACATAAAACAGACCATGAATACTTWCAAGTCAAAATTTTGTGTGCATAGCATGTAAGCTTGAGTACCATTACATTTAATCAATTAAAGCTACACTATTTTCTATCATTCCATGAACTCTACAACCTCAAATACTGTGCAGAAAACGTCTACTGTGGGAGATTATGAAACAAATCTTTTTAAATTAAATTGTTTTCTATCTTCAACTATCGCAGCCAGTAGAATTCCAAATGCTGCAGTCTAGATAGATCCTCAAGCCAATGGATATGTCTAACAAGGAGTTTCTTCTCTTAATCAATTTTCTTTTTCTTTTCCTGATTTCAGTCCATRTCTACTAATGCTTTCTTCTCATTACTGACTATAGAGAGCTCTCTGTTACACATCTTCATCAAATAACTAAAGACTAGCATCATGTATTTAGTTTATTTTCCACATATGTCAATATTTCCAGGCCCATAATCAATTTTTCTGTCTCCTCTGGCTTTTCAATGTCTTTGTCTTAGCTCAGTTGATTTTAATGAGTATCAGCATATGCCTGGATCATGCTTCTTTCCTTGCTTTTCATTTCCATCCATCTAGAGCCCAGGGCAGGTTTTTGTCTTCCTTTTTTTGGGGGTTTTGTTTTTTTTTCTGTATGTGGAAAAATTATGGAATACTTAAGATGACAGTTTGCACATTTAATTTCAGACTCGTCATCTTGCACTTGCAGCAAAGGTTTCATAAGGCTTTTGCTGCAAACAGCAGTCAAAGCCCAGGACCAACTCTGCCTCCTGCTATGCCAATAACCTGCTGATACTTCTCTGGTATTACAAATTTTTACTGTAAATTACATCCATGAAAGTAGTAGCTGGTCTTTGTCTATAATGTTTCTTAAAATATTAGGAATCAAAAAAATTTWATTTGAACTATAATGTGCATCCCAGCTCATACATGTATTGACTGTTATCTAGAGCTGTGAAACTACTAGATGGCAAAGTAGTTTATAAAGATGTTGTAATTATCCCTGCTTCCCTCTTTTCCCTCTTTTAGAGTTAAAAGAATATAACACGTGCTCCTCAGGAGAGAAAGATACTGCAAAATGTAATGTTTCTTAAAAAGCACCATGCAGACGTGTGTCATAAAATCGCATCAAATATGATGTGGTGTTCTACAGAACTTTTCCTCTCTCATTAGCCTTTTGCTTTGAGCAGAAATCAAGGTGGTACTTAAATCCATGGAAAATATTTCAATGTTAATTTTGTTTATGTAGTTTTGGTTTTTTTCAATGTTATTCTGTTTTTGTAGTAATATGAACTTTTCCTTCTTCACTCTTATCTAAATTATATTTTTAGGGTCACTGCCTTTATAGGATAGAGCACAACTTCAGCTCATTGGTGGTTTTTGCAATATTGGCACAATTTCTTTAACATTCTAGGAAGAGGGTTCATTTCACACTGTCTCATTCCTCTGATTAACAGATTCATGAGATTAGCATATTACATTCACCCATTGGCATTAGCAAGCAGCAAAGTCAGAACAGGTTACAGGGGCTTTCAGATGGACAGTACCAGCAGTGACCCCAGTACAGCAGGATAAGGAGCACAGACTGTACAAGACCCCACAAGTGCTTCTCCTTGGCCTCGAATGGGAATATTCTAGGGGAGCCCCTCACAGCCCTCAGTGCCCCTGAAGACAGAAATTGTGTCTCACTGTCCTGCAAACCTTGGCAACTCTTTTCAGCGATGTAAGACGGTTTCCGTGAGCAGGTTTTTACCAGCTCAAAGTTTAGCCAAGTGTTGCTTCACAAAATTCTCAGCTTCTTTTGCTGACAGGTGATGTTGCAGGATTTGGGGGCGTTATCTGAAATGGCCTTTTCTGCTGTACCTTTTGTTCATAACAGCAGTCAACATGAATTATTTACCTGTTATCTCACTATCTTTTCACTGGCATCTTATTCCTCCAGGTGACAAYGATTACTTTGGCTCGGAAATTCAGATGTAGGCCATCATTCCTTACCAGGGGTTTCTTGTAAATTCTCAGAGCAGGCTTTAGGACCAGCTGTGTCATACTGCGGTCTCACAATTTGCATATCTCTGTAGGAACTCACTGTCTGCTTGAATYTTCTTCATTCTGGCAGTTGCATCTGATTTGGGTCACCACAGTGTATTTTGGAGAAAGCTCAGGACACCCAGTCTGCCTGTCTAGTCACATTTAATCACCAACTAGTGATTTTTCATTTCTTACCTGCTGCTGCAATCCAGATACACCATGACTACCTGATGGAGCTGACAATTTGGATGTTGCTCAGAAAGCAATGTTTTGGATGCTGACAACTTCAGATTGTTGTAGTCTCATCTCTTAGTAAAAATTCAGCTGCAGGCATTAAAAACATAATTTTTAAAATTCCAGATATCCTCTCATGCTTTGCAACCTATTTTGAAAGGTGTGGTTTTCTGTGATTTTCCCCCAAAGGATCTGCTCATCCTGTAAGTTTCCATTAAATTTTATTCAAGCTCAATAATAATAAATARCAGAATTATAATAATAATTTTATAATATTTTTATAATAATTTTATTCAAGCACAATAAAAATAATTAGTAGAAGAGAGCACAAAAATGAAAATGTGAGCGGATAAATTTCCCATTAACCTTTTCSTTTCTCCACAAATCCTGGCTAGCAGCATTTTCCCACTGGTAAGCAATGGTTAATGTAATTCCTGCTCCTCTCTCACTTTTTGGGGKTTTTTTTGTGTTATGTACTCACTAGTGCCAGGATCAGCAGGAGGTGGTGATGTGAAGAGACTACAAAAAGACATTTTTGGCTGATTTTCTTTTGGCTGTATCAGTTTCCTCATCCTGCTCACAGCAGTGCCCTCCTCACTGGAGGGAAGGCTTGCCATAACCCAGGAGTGGAACATGCAGGGCAGGAATCTTCTGTAATGCAGTGTAACTGACCATACTCATTTTAAAAACTGCTTTAATTACTTCCTTATAAAAACTGTATGGGGAAAAATCCACTCCTGCCACTATCAGTTAGTCCCACCTAGTAAAACTGACAAGAGAAGAGATTTTGTGGTCAAAACTGTATATTCATTTTAAATTTTTGCCTTGACTTTCTCACTTATCTTTCTCAATATGYTTCTCCTACTTCACTCTTTCCAACTGATCTCATATAGAGGAAAATAATTTTTTTCACCCCAAACTCTGTACTCATCTACGTTTTAGTACATTTTTAAAGTCATTTATCAATGTAAAATTTTGTCCTTATTTTCTCTCAGACAAACAGTTGCTTAAAAAWTTGAGAAATAGTCTAAATTTTCTGAACCTTAATTTCATTTTGCATAGAGGATGTAAAAACTGGCCTGTAAGCTTTCAGATTTATTGCCAGTTTAAGTCTGTAAAAACATTTTGACATASTTGAACAAACAGGTTCAGAAATGCAGCATAAAATAAATCAAGGATTGGACAATGGTTTTAAAATCTCAGAAGCACTGTATGAAGCTCTGGCACAATACCCATGAAGATTACTGAACAGTAAAATACATCCTTCTCTTCTTACAGTGAACCCAAAACTCTTCACTGGACAGATAAAAAACAGTCAGACAACTGTTCCTTCCCAAAACAAAAGTTGAAAAAAAAAAAAAAAAAAAAAAAAAAAAAAAAAAAAAAGAGTTATTACTTACGAAATCTGTTTAAATGCTCTTGGAGCTTATATTTTCTAAAGTAAAGTGTGGTTATGTAATTAAGTTTTCTTTGCATACACATATATCAGGGTTATGTTAACAAATTTTTGTTAAAAAAAAAAAGACCCAGAAATGGTACATTGAGTCAGAAGTTGTACATTGAGTTAAATGCTTCCATTCTAAAACCATTGACAAGATTTTAGAACAAGTGTTATGATTTTATGGAGAGTGACCCTTGATAATAAGCAGAGAGGGAATTCTCTGTAATAAAGTAAGGATGGAAAAAAGTGATGGAACCATTTCTCTTATTCATACTTTTAGCTCTTTTCCTGCTACATCTGTGTATTGCTTTGCTACTCCATTCTCTAAGGGGTGGGAATCTGAGTCATTGCCTTCACTGATGGCAAGTTCAACAGCTTGAAAAATATGACTCCAAAGGCCATTTAGGCTATGAACAGAAAATTTAGGGTTGAAATACTTCAACAGTGGAAAAAGTTTGTTCTTGGCAGTCCTTAATACCACTGTGATTTGCAGGTTCGTACTTTCAGAAGAAATCCGACTGTGCCGCGATTGTGTTAGCAAGGCAATCACAGATCAAGGGTAGGGAACAGCAATTCTGGACAGGACATGTCTGCAGCCAGGCTTGGGGCAGTTTTATTTCGATGTAAAAATGTGCATGCCCTTTTCTGGACACTCTGGTTCATGAYAAGCTCCAATTCAACATAGGACATTCAACATGGTGAGACTATGTGTGCTTTGAGTCAAGTAGTAGAATTTGGAGAAAATAATTAAATATAAATTGGAACAGTTTAGTCACTCTTTGAAACTGCATTATTTTATGGTGCCACTGGCTGTTTTTATGACTTTTYAGTTACACATTTAACTGTCTCATCTTCCAGAATCATATTAATATAGTCATTTTCAAAGGAAACAAAGGAAACAATTGCTTCCCAGCATGCATATTGAAGCACTCAAAAAGAGAACAGCAACTATACAATGCAATTGAATTGTACTTTTAGGAAAATGGACAACAAATAATCAGGGACTCCCAAAACCTGTTTCTTTCTGATGATTTTTTTGTGACTTTTTGTTATAACTTCAGAAAGAAGATATTCAGCAAAGCAGARCACATGCAGAGTATTTCATGCATTRCCTTGACTGTAATAAGAAAAATAAGGAAGCAGAAGTTTTTGTCTTGGGTTTGGGAATGGGGCTGGGTCAATCTCTCTGTTTTTCTCTACTGAAAAGGAAATGAGTGATTCTTCTTCTAATCTGTCTTCAGCTTCTGACAAATGTCTGGTCTGGGGCTCTGAAGCAGACTATTCCCTGTTTAGGAATGRCAGACACCTCGTTCACTTTCTTTATTTTCCATGCACGAGTTGTAAACTAGAAGCAGTTCAGTCACCTGTCATGCCTCTTCATGTCTTCTCACGTCTTTGATTGGTGACCTGTCAAATGCCAGCTACATTCAAAGATTCAAAGATTTATTTTTAAACRTAATTCCCCATGTTTAAGTACATCATCAATCATCTGTCATTTGAAGCAGAGACTTTGTTATGACAGATTTGGACTTCTATTCATACCAAGCAGAATTTTACATCCCTTTAATGATGAAGGCTTATTAGCTACTTATTCTCTGTGATTTGGGAAAACAACAAACAACAGTGACAAAAACAAACAAACAAACATTTAATATGATTAAGTTAATTAATTTAATCTATCATCCTCTGTCCTACACAAAATCATATAGGTACAGTATGAAAACCCAAAAGCTGACTTTTAAGTATATATTTTTATTTCTGCATATCAATGTTCAGTTTCTCACTGAATCATATAATGTTTTCCAGATTATAAGATGCTACAAATAGCTATCTGACTGACTGCCACATTAAAGATATATTTCTCTTAAAAAAAAAAAAAATCCTTGCTTTTAATAGATTTTTTTTCATGAAATTTAGGTACTAGTGATCACATATACAATCATCAACTGTCCTTCTTTTAAAAAGGACTGGTTTTAGAATGACTTATTCTAAAGAGATTCCAGATGAATTCTGGAAATCTCATGGACTCTGTGCTTAAAAATRTTAAAAGCATTTTCTGCCTTGAAATATGAACTAAACTCAACAAAACTTAAACAAAAACATGAGCAAATACCTTACCAAACTCTGAGTTATTCCTAACTAATAAATAATGATTTMCTTGAAAACTGAGAAAACTACATTWAAYAGTCTATGGCAATTAACCTCCTTCTTACAATTTCAATATCTTAGGTCTTGTAAATTACTAAAAGTTCTATTGTGGCTAGCAAACATTTGTCTTAAATTCAGGAATAATTAGTCCATTAATATATAGTACTACAATTTTATCCATTGGACTTCATTAAATCAGGCAGGTTTCTATTCCTGGCCATTCTACTGCTCATGCTAATGCCATTATAGCATTTCCTTTGCAGTCGTGGAGTTTGGTTAATTTTATTATTGTCTGTTTTGAATTTGGCTTTTTTATTTTAATGTTCTTTGTTCTGAGAGTAAAATAAGTATTGTAAAGGCCATTAATTTATACTTTTTAATTGATTAGGTGTTTGCACATGAGCTTGGTTATACCAGTTTATACATTTTGACTCTAACATGGCAATTTTTTCTTGCAGCCTACCCACACTGGGTGGACAAACTCAACGATACACAATTGGACAGTGGAGATCAGCTCCGATGGGAATGCAAAGCCACTGGGAAGCCAAGGCCCACATATCGCTGGCTGAAAAATGGAGTTTCTCTCTGGCCACAGGTACACTAGACAAGGACTCACCAGCATGCTGGATGCTTCTCTTTTCACTCTGATAAAATCTGCTAAAGAAAGCACTTAAAAGTATTTCAGAAATTCCTGCTTAGTTAACATAATAAATACAACAACCATCATGTTCTCAACTCAATTTATTCTCTGCACGTAACAGAACWCACAATTAAGACCATTAAAATAGTCTATGTAAGACTCCTTGAATGTAAACTGCTTAACTACAGCTACCTGATATATTTTAGAATTAGACAAATAAAATTATCTTTTTTCTTTTAGAAGACCACCAGTGCATGGTCTGTCTTTTATTTCATTTAATTCTGTTTCTCTCATTGAATCATTTAAGCTTCATCCCACAGTATGTGAGTTTTTGCCTAAAACCTTTCCATTTTTATAGTCTCAAATTATTTAAAGTTTAAGTTTTGCAAATTTATTTAATCTGTTTTTCCAGATTAAAATAAGACTGCATGGTTCTGGGAGAAAATGTCTATATTTGCAAATGAATTCACAGAATRGATTTATGAATATAAAAGATGTAATGTCTTTTCAGCAAATGTCACTTCTATCTGTGAACATCAACCAATTATGCAAGCAACAAGAAAGGAAACATAAAAACAGTTTACTTTTGAAGCTGTGAGGCATTGAAAATAAGGTTATTTTATCCATTTTTGCCTTTTTAGATGGAGCTATTAGTCCTGAATTTGAAGCAATTTAAATATCRCTACCTTTTGTTTCTCTGATTTTCTAAACCATTAGTTTCTCCAGGCTCTAAAACTTCAAATTAAATTTCACTTTGAGCTGAGTGGGGGCTTACAACAAAGTGAATTTTTTATCACAATTTCCTCTGCATTCCCAAACAATTTATTCCTTATCAATTTTAACTTMCAACAACTGCTATAACGAAACTTAGAGTTGTTCATAGCAGTTAAAATTATTCATAACACAGCTCCATGAAATACTCATTTCCTTAAATGGCTATTGATGTCCCTTCTCTTCCAGTTGTGGTAATTATTTTCTGCTAGTGGGYTTCTCAAATAAGAAACTTGTACTAATGATGAAGGCAATTGGACCCTTTCATTCTTACTTATTCAAGCAATCTTTCATATTTGCTTTTATGAAAAGAGCACCGTGGATGAGACCAAATATTTGTTAAAGATTTGAAGATCATCAGTATATTACACCCACAAATGACTTCTTGCCTCATTAAGGTTCCCAGGACRAGTTGCTTTTAAAAAGCATGTCAAGGTAATAGCAAACAAACAAGCAAACAGACAAAAGCAAGCTTTGAATTTAGTCAATTTGCTCTGAAAAGTATTTACAATCAAACATTTTTGGACTTTTTATTCTTGCAATTCCTTATATAAGAAGAAAGTCAGCCCAAGGAAATTTGTTGCTCAGTTTTATTTTAGTTCCATTTCTGTCACTTTGCCTTAAGCCATTGGCACAGCAATTTTCCAAGGCCTTTTCACTTTTATAGAATGATTTTAAATTTTCTTTTTCTTTTAATTCTCTTACAGAGCAGGATWGAGATGATTAATGGTGTTCTGATGATCCACAGTGTGAATGTCTCAGATGCTGGAATGTATCAGTGCTTAGCAGAAAATAAGTATGGTACCATTTATGCCAGTGCCGAGCTGAAGATTTTAGGTGAGTATTAGAAAAGAACAGGCTTCTCCATTTTCCTCTTTTGAGAACTAAATTTTTTGTTTGATTGTTGTGATAAGGAACAGCTTCTGCCAGTCCAAACAGCAGARCAGATAAAAGTGGTTTCTTTATATTCTTGTCATTTATGTATGGGTGGGTCCTTTGTTGCCCCAGAAAGGATAGAGACTTCTGTTAACCACAAATTTTTGTTTGCAARTAACTGAATTAGATACATTTTGTGGCTATTTCTCCTATAAAGCTATGTCAGTTGAAATAAATGGAAAAATATTTTTTACTCCCTCAAACATATGTGCAGGAATGAAACTTACAGAAAGTAAATTTATTTTAATCTCTGATAAAATTAGATTATTATTTCTACTTGGGCCATTATTCAAAGGTAATTRCACTTATGAAATCACCAAAACCAATGAAATAATAGAAATTACATGATTGGGTCAATATCATCYGCAGAAAAATGAATACACTGCATAAAGTTACATGGAAATACAATAAAAATATCATTATTCAAAAGTGAGGGAGGCAGTTAAYGAAGAAAAACTTGAAGAGTTTTTCAATATTCTAATTTTCCTTAGAGCAAACTGTAGTAACATACAATGGATCAATAGTGATAAGAGGCCCTTCAGAGGATTGAGACAGACTTATAAATATTGTATCATCTTTACTAGAGTATGATGTGGCTGGAAGACAGGTGTCCACCAAAGTCAWGTAATGGCCATATCAGAGATTAGACCTGCACCTGAGAATCATTCCTGTAAACTCCCAGTCAAATGAATAAGAAAGCTGTAATTACAGAAATAATACACTATATTTTGTGTAACATTTAGGTGTTTCGCAAAGTAACCTTTCTAGTACATTTCAGCCATTTCCTAGCTGGCCAACACTAGAATTTCACTGATATGTCTTAAAAATATTTCTTTMTAGACATAAAGTTAAAAGCCAAGGTCGGTGATTGTTTTATTTCCATCACTTATTTTTGGTTATTTGTGATTCAGTCAGCAAAGAGATCCCTATTGGCCACAGCGTTCTTTTGCTGATTTTTTATATCTGTTATATAATTGGTAAACCTACTTCATCAGGTAGTTGCACACTTTCTTTGATGTACTTTAATGTCAGAAACAGACACTGTATATTGCTGCAGTAAAATTAGCTTTTCATTTTCTCACTTGTAAGATTGTACCCCTGTTAAATTTTAACCATAATATTGTATTAAAGAAGCAGTTGTGTTTAATTTCCTGCCTYACTAAAGGGAAAAGAACAGAATAAATTGTCCATATAAGCATCTCTGGTATGAGAATTCACCAAAATAATGGTAGGAAGTTCCTACATATTGTAGGCAATGAAGYGTAATATGTCCCTGTAAGTGTAGCTGAGATAGGGGTCTTTGGTTTTGCAGAAGTAGCTCAAGAAAAACATAATCAAATGAGATTACTTGAGAAGAACTGTTTTTTCTTGTTGTGAAATCACAGTAATTAGTGCTATTTTGTGATACATTTATTAGCTTAGCTGTTGTTTGTGACAATGGGACTTCTTGAAAAGTGAAATACTGAGAACAAGACATGGTTAAGTATCTCCAGTTAACATGTTCTTATATTGAAAGTCTCAATATTCAGACAAATATAAAAAGTGAAAGCCACACAATTTCTCTAATGACAATACTTTTTCTAMGAATTAACTCTACAGAGTGCATATTGAATAATTGTGGAATACAAACTTCATTTCAATTTTAACTATTTACTTCTAACAAGTTTTTGATAAAAGTCTTTAAAAAGGGAGAAGTGTAGCTAAAATACTTGTATTATTTAATTTCTAAGGTGGTTGATTTCACAAGCAATCTCACTCTAATCTGCTGATGTGAAAGACTTCTCATTAATCCACAATTGGATTAAGTTATAAATGTGCCATTCAATCCTGGCTGCTGATTTAAAATATTTTATAAAATTCCAACTTTGAAAAAATAATTTCAAAGAGAAAAATGGAGATTCTATTCCCAAACCCAAATCTATTTCTCTAACCTTTTATTAGAATGTAATGAAACAGGAGACTCTGATTGTTCTCTGTAGAGTTAACATAATTCTTTTCAACAGCTTCAGCTCCAACTTTTCCACTAAATCAAATGAAGAAAACAATAATTGTTACCAAGGGCCAAGAAGTTGTCATTGAATGCAAGCCACAAGCCTCTCCAAAGCCAACTATCACCTGGAAGAAAGGAGACAAAGTTTTAAGGGAGAATAAGAGGTCAGAAGTCTGTTCGGTAAACTAAATATTGTGTTTGCATGTTGGATTCTGTGATATGATAYGAAAATGCAGCAAGTGACAAGAAATGTATTTGTTAGCCTGAGTATAGCATAATTATTTTGTCAATCAGATTTGTTTGACAGTAGTGACTTTATTCTTTACATAATATTTGAATGGAAAAACCTTAGCATAGTTCAGAGATACAGAAAGATGAAAAGGTGTTATTATTTTGTGGAGGTTTTGTCTCTATTTTCTGCTATTAATWTCAAAAATCTTTCATTTATTCTGTAGAGGTACTGCTCATACTTAGTGCATGAGAGTRTCAAAAGCATAGAGGCTGAAGTAGTCAGGATCACATAAAATATCAAATGTGCTTATTCATTTGAAATAATTTTAATAAGGCAGATTTACAGCTTGATCACAAAGGAAGTCTGTGTAAGAATAGCTTTAAAATTATTCAGARAAAGAAAATACAATTCCATTACAGCATTTAATTATACTAGTAATTTCTATACTCAGCAGCACATCTGTTTAACAGAAWATGTTTTATTAAATAAGTCCTGTCCAGCTTCGTACGGTGAAAATAATTCAAGCACTGCAGGTTTAATACCAGATGTAATTGCACTTTACAAGATTGCTTATCTGTGCACCMGAATAGCTTTGCCACTCTGAACATGGTCTTTAAGTACAAAGAGCAAGCTTTTCCTTTTTCTGGTAATGTATGTGAATGAACCATTTAAAATGACTTGTGTGGTATTAATCAGAAAGATAAAAGTAAGCYCCMCTTTTGTTCAATTTTTGCAACACTGRTGRAAGCAGTAGAGTGCATCTGTCCTCRTTAGCTGCAAAAGCCATTTTGGTCAGGTGTGCTGTATTTTCATCTCATGAAGTTTTGCTCTTAGAAGGAAAAATGGGTAACYTCTTGTACCATGTTGATTTTTTTCTTTGAGGGGGAGAGGGCAAAACAGCATTATATACAACATTTTACTAACAGGAGTGAGTTGTATAGTGCATATCACAATAYGACAGATTGATACTACAAAGAAGCTTAAAATCTCAAATATTGTGACACTGATGCCTCTGTGCTCTACCTACAGTTAATACTTTTCACTACAAGACTCTTTACTTTCATCTCCACAAAAATCACTGTGSTTTCTCTGATCGCCATGTGTAAATCACATTTTAATCCAAGACCAGTAAAGCATTTTGGTAATTACCTCATGTCTGTACAAACATAGTTTAACTCTGAAGTTAAAAGCTTATGAAAATAGATCTGGAGTTACATTTTTGGTATTTACAGCTTTTGATACTTGCTTGTTTTGAGAGAAGCTGGAAAGGGAAATGAAAAGTTGATTGAACTGTTTCAGGTATTTGAAACAATAGGGTTGCATTCAATTTAATTTTTTAGTCAGCTGTTCTGGGATTATTTTGCGTCATTCAAAGTAATAGCCCTGTGACTACTGTTTAGAGAGCGGTGGGAGTGAAAGGATACCAGTTTCAAGGGAGCTCAGCTCTGCCTCTACACAGCGTGCTTTAAACACCAGTAACAGAGTTTCTTTGCAGAGAAGGTGAGGAAGTCTACTGTGATTTGTGAAAGGAACTGTTTCCATGTTTYGGGCACTCTGAGAAGGAACCATTGGAAGGAACACTGTTAAATATTTTTAAAAGGAATAAGATGACATTGTAAACACATCAATATACTTTAAAAATGGACTTTCTTTATAGTCTGCTGATAAAAATTCCAGAAAAAAAAAAAAAAAANATATACTTTCATAAGCTATAATCAGCATTTAGGAGATGTAAGCCTATATGGTCTTGTTAGGGGCCAAAACCCTAACCCTTTGCTGTAGAAAATTCTAATTTCTTACATTGAAAGAGATGAGATGTTTGGAGTATTAAGTAAATTCTGTATCATGCTTATAAAATAACATTTTCATATTATGATAAGAAGATAAAAATACAAAGAAAAAAAAAAAAAAAAAATAAAAGTCGGATAATAAAAAATTCCAGAAAAAAAAAAAAAAAAGTTAGGAAATGTGATGGATTTGCCTAGACTATTAAGCTGTCAGAGATTTAAGAAATAATAAGAAAAAAAGAAAAAAGCCCCAACACTGTGGTTAAGCAAGATGGAAGGGCAAGGACAGAACAGGAGAATATATTTTCTTCTTTTATGCCACAGGTTTTGTCCTCTTCTAAAATGTTTGTATGAAGTGCATATTGTATTTTAGTTTTGTGAACCTAGAAAAGGGACTTGAGCAACATCAATAAAAAGATCCCTTGCCCTCCACWGCAAAGAAGAAATTTTGCCTGACTAGTGGATCTATTATCTATTCTACGTCTTCCAAACTGAGTTGCCCCCTTAGGTGCCTTTCACAACCAAAAGCTGGATGACAGAAATACCTTAAGCAATGTTTCCATATGTAAGGAGAGAAGGCTGATTGTTCCTGTGGGATTCATGGCTGGGTACAGTTCCCACCGCAGTCAGAACTTGACTCAAGCTCCTGGAATTAAATGCAGTTTGAAAGCCTCAGATGTTTCAGATTCATTGGAAATTCATGTACTTGGCAACTGTGGGAAGCTTTCATTAGCTTCACTTCTTGGGCTGATTTCACCTTTGAACAAATTACCCAACTCAAGGTCTTCACATTCTCAGTCTAACCTATGATAGGCTGGATCTCCAGAAATCATTTTGAGCAGCCAGCTAATTTGATTCCTCTTGGAAAACATCTACATATTGTAACAGATCTTTTACATTGAGTTCTGAATGAGCGGCAAGCCTATGAGGTAGGTACAAAAATAGTAGGATATTCACAGCCATTTGATGATAAAAAGCATCACTTTAAGTTTTACAATTCCAAAATATAATAAATCTGGTGAAATTACGCCTATAGACAAAGAGTAATTTAATAAAGAGTCCTAAGTGTTTACAGTTCATTCTATTAACCAGAGACAAAGATGAAGAATAGATGCAAAAGAAATTCAATAAAMTATTGGAGATCTTCTATTCAGAAGAGTAAAACTTCCAAAGATCAAGGCCTAGTCTGTGAAACTTACTGATACAAGACATCTAATGATCAACATTTGGAAGGAATTCAAGTCTCTTTCATATATCCTTATCTCAGTGGGCCATTAATACATTCAATCAAAGATAATTTCATCAGCATTTTCACCTAGAACTTACAAGAAAAGAATTGTTATACTTCTGTTTTGGCATTAGAATATGGCTGAGCACAGCACCAATACCAGAGGTGTAGACAGAGAAACATATTTAAGCTGCAAAATTCTTTAGTCACCTCACAATAATTAAAATACTTAACTATCTTTACAAACCACTTGTCTATACTCTATGAYTGTGTCTTTTTTATGGCAGGCTGTGATAATATATACTCTGGTTATTGATTTRAACAGTATGTTTATCCATAAGAATTTGTAAAGAACTTTGGAGTCCTTCAGTTCATAAGTAATCTTGCTTTTATAGAAAAGTGGATTATATGGGGATCCAAGCCTGAGGAAAAAAGTTMTTTCTTTGGTTTGTAAAAAACAGTTTGATTAGAACTTTGCTTTGAGGCTAAAATAGGAGGAAGTAGGCCTTTGGGGAAGAGTTCAGTGATCAACAACTATTTTTGTGCAGTTTCTGAAATATTTCAGTCATATATTTCCTAATATGTAATCCAACTATCATTTACTACTTTAGCATCAGCTTCTAAACAAGACCAAGACCCAGACCATTCAGATCACAAAGCCAGTCAGAAGCCTGTTAAAAATTAAATATTTTTAATTTATATATATCAAACTAAGGGAAAGAAAGAARGGAAATGATGTTTTGTAGACAATAAATCCTACAATGCACACTAGAATAGACTGGAATCTGATGTCAGTTGCATCAGTATAAATCATGAGTTCTACTAATAAATTCAATTATTAAATTCAAGACAAACATTTTTCTTAATTTGTTCAGTTCCTGCGCTCAGGCATCAAGTATTTCATAACTATTTACAACTGCCCAAATTTTTTTTAGCTATTACTCCATGAGTTGTAGWCTCTTTTTCCTCACTTTCTCGAAGTCATCTGCCTTTCTTGTCTAGATTTCCATGTAGTGGTGACTACAGTTGATGTTTAAAGAGGTACACCGGARGAGTCAAAGGTATTGAAAAGCACTATAAGCCCTTGCTCATCTGTTTTTGTGCTTTCTCTTGCAATTAAAATATTTTCCKCATTAAACTTATATTAAATTTTTACTCAAGCTCATTATTTCCATTACATATCCATTAATTATAGTTAAAATAATTTGAAAGCACTCTAGCAGTGAAAATATTCTCTTTAGCCACTATTTTTTCTTCTTTATTAAGACCACTAAGTAATGATGATAACAATAATAATAATTTTAAAAGCACACTTTAACCAAAAAATGTGTAACTGAGGAAGAAAGCACAGTTTAACCAACAAATGGGTAACTGAGGGAGCAGGACTTTTATAGCCCCAATTTTATGCTGCTTTGCTTTTGTTTTTTCCTTTTGAAGTTTCTCTAATTATAATGCTTTTTAAATCATTTTTTATTAAATTCCTTAATTAATGTGAAGGTTAATATTTAATATAAAATAAAAAATTCTAAATATAGTGATGTCCTAATACCTATGTATTCTTTGRTAACCTAGTTCTGTGTTTATTGACTTCTTGCTTTCCACATGGCACAGAGGCACAGTCTAATCTTTCTCCTTCACCTCACAGAGCGAGCTTTGCAGGAAAACATTACCAGCCTCTGAACCTCCTTTGAAGGTCAGATTCACCATAGATCACCGAGAGCAGGGCAATGCCAATCTCTCTGTGGCCACCATGTAATTGCTCATATTGATCCACCCAGGCCCCAGATTAACTTTCSCTGCAGACCTAAGTACACAGAGCATCTCTGTAGGGAAAATAAATGGTAACAAAACCCCACCTGCCACTTCAAATCAGTCAYTTTGCCTATGAAGCAATTAGTTTCCTGTGTTCCACTTCTG